CCCGAGCTTTCTTTGGGAAAGAGTCATTGCGATGCAGCAGCATTAGAAGTGACCCCTAAATAAATCACAACATGACCACAAATTTCCAACGGCAAATGCCACCTTATCCTGCTCCCAACAACACCTGGGGCCTGGACCGCAAGAAAATGAGCCGATTTACTTTTTGGGCGATCCCTCCAACTAACTATCCAGCCTTGTGACTGAAGGCCGGACCAGAAAGAGCAGTGACATTCAATTTCCCACACCACTCCAGCGGCCGCCGGGGGGGGGGCATGAGGTTCGGCATCTTCCTTGAATATCCACTGAAGCAAAAAAGACACGGGGGGGGCCATCTGAACAAGATCAATCCATTGTGGTCAAGGCAGTTTCCCCAGAGCAAGCAAGTCCAATTTTGCTGACGAGAGGCCTCTCTCTCTCTCTCTCTCTCTCTGCAAGTGCCAACGAGATTTGCACGTCATGAATTGAGCGAAACAAAAAAGTCTTTTCTTTTCTTGTTTTTTTTTTTTTTTTTTCCCGTAAAAGGGCCCGAGAATAGAATAAGCTCAAAACCGAGTCATCATCAAGTTGGGCATGCCTATGTGGTCGATGCCGAGTAAATAACACAAAGAGCCAAGTCCCCCAGCCTGGGCTTGCCAACGCGGCCACGCGCCCTTGTGTGCGGCCAAAGCCACGAGGTAAAGTATTTTAATCGCCGAGTCTCTTTTTTTTGGGTACCAAAAACCTGAATCGCCACGCTCGTCTCATGTAGCGAGCCCCTTTGCTCAAGATAAGTTAGCGCAAGCCCACCAACTAACAACTGCCCAGTAAGATTGTTTCGGCGTGCATGGAAGCAAAGCAACCTTTTTTTTTTTTTTCCTGCTTTCTTGTTCATTTCAAACTATAGTTGGCCTCTTCTATAACTAGTTGCCAATCTATTTAATTTGTCTGTTGTTCATGCAAAAGAGTGTCCTGAACATGGGGGCGAGTGTGAGCGAGATTTGAAAAAAAAAAAAGAAATCAGGTTCCTTCTTGTCTTCTGCGCAAGTGCCGAGGAATTAATCAGGCCATTGGGAAAATCACTGTGCAGACAATTGCCGGGCTTCTTTTTTTTTATAGATATATTTGTTAACGCGAATCGTGAGCTAAGCAGGCCGGGGAGCCGTCAGACAAAACTTAAACTAGCTGGTGCCGGATACTATTCGTACACTAACTAACTAAAAAGTTTGCAACTGGGCAGGCAACTGGCTCCATTTCAGCCTCTTGTTTACCCCATCGTCCAGTGTTTCAATGCAGCAGATCGTCTGTAGCCTGAAAATCCTTAAACTATCCAAGGAACAAAAAAAGAAGAAAAAAAAAAGGCTCCATTGCGTAGATCGCGGGACGGTGGGCTGCCGAGAAGGCTTTTTCATGTAATGAGCTTGTGCCTGTCGGTCAGAGGGCTTCTCGTAACACAGCTTCTTCTTCTTCTTAAAGTGAAAAACATCCGACCGCTTACTGAGTACCTTGCTGGATAGCGTAATAGTCCGCAGATGTGCCGGAGTAAAAGTAGCGGGGGGGACGCTTCACCACCGAATGGCCATAGTGTCTATAGTTGAAACTATCCGTACGTATACGTCGAGTAATAGGGATCCTTGCGCTGCTGGTTGGACTTGCACGGGCCAGTCCTCATGGGCTGGCTGCCTCTGCAACTATTCGGTGCCCGTCTTTCAGTAGTTTATCAAGAGCTGCTGAAACAGTGCTACAGCCACAACATCCTTTTCATCTCTGACCTTGACGAGTTTTGTCGTGACTCTTGATGACTCGCTTTATTACGCGTCAAAACTCACCAGTCGGCGTGAAAGCCTTACCTGACTGAGACTGGCAAGGATGGGAGGTGCCTGCCTAGCTAGGGCCAAGGACAGGCTCGCCACGCGAGTTTTTTTTGGGTACCCCGACCCCCAAATGGTCAGCTCATCATGTCAAACTTAGCGTCCTTGTTGGCTCGCTGTTCCGTACTTGGTAATAGTATTACGAGCTTCCCCCCAGATGGCAACCTGCGCTTGCTCGTGCTGGTTCGATTGCAAAAGCCACAAAGGACCCATCTTCCCCGAGACCAAAAGGCCATTATGGCGTGCGCTAACGTAGGGACTGGAGACAAAAGCCCATCTCGGAAGTTATTAATCAAAGTACGGATAGTTAGTTATTAGGGTCAAACTGGATGTGCTACTGGGATTCACGCCAGGGCAGCAAATAAAGCTAGTTATTTAGCCATCATCTACGGAATACTGATGTTAATATGTTTGCTGCGCCCCGGGTTGGAGATGCATTGACAATTTGTCACTGGGTGTGTGTACCAATCGTGATACCTTCGTAAGGCTGCCTTCCCTCTTCAATGAACGGGATGGGCTTGGCCGGTGCTCAGTGCGCTCGTCCTATGCTGACCTGTGACCTGTGCGTCGGCGCTTTTTATTCTCACCCATTTGACCGGCTTATATGAACTGGATGTGTCCTTCAACGATGCCAATGCTACGAATTCGGATGTTCGGCCGGCGCCCCCCCCCCCCCCCTCCCCCCCTCCCCACCGCCCTCGTACCGGGAGCACATGTGCCCTCAACGACTCATGAGCTCTTCTCTCAGCATCGAGTAATCCGTAGGTATCCATCCATCCGTACGAATAGCTCGATTGCAGCAAGGTACGGTGTGTCCAGGCGAGCACATCACACCCCTGATTTTCCACAAGCGCATGTTTTAAAGTAACTAACTAAATACACTGCGCAGCCGTCCATATCAATAACTATGTAGACCCCCTCCTTCCAATCCCTCGACCGTTGTGGCGTTGGGACTCGCACGCATTTCCCCGCCCATAGGACATGACCAGTGGCGTGTGTCGTGCGCTAACACACAAGGAGGAAGAAAGCAGATATTGAACATATTTAGTTACTATCACAATAATAGTATTGATGGCGCCGAAATATAACATTTGTACCATTAAAGACAGCTGGCCCCTTTTGTCTGCTATTATTGCTGCCCTTGCTCCAAATATTTAGAGTCAGACACTAAATGCCAGCGGCTAGCAAGGGCGGCCACCACCAGAACTGGGTTGCGGGTATACTCTGTACAGTCCTGCGTGTGGGAGGCCAACCCCCCTTGTATGTTTTAGGTTCCCCGGTACCTTTTTTTTTTTTTATCAAGTTAGTTTGCAACAGGCATCACCCCATTATCATTAGTGACTGTGTGGCTCACAGACTAGCAATTCTGACTTATCTGCCAAGTTGGGCAGTCGTGCAGCACCCCCAAAGCCAAATGTGCCAGGAGGACTAAATAGTTCTAGTTCCCGTAACGAAGGTGCCAGAGTTTGGGCGGCCTGTGATTCATGAACAAGGAGACAAGCTAGAGCCGCTGCCCACATGGGGTGGTCTGAAAGATGCTGCCTTGTCTGTCCCCGTACTTCCATGGTGTCTTTGGCGACTCCCCCCCCCCCCGGTACCCGGCGCACGCACGCCACCATTGTATTATAGCTCTGCTGCGGTGATGCCGTGAACAATACTCCATAATATGATGGAGTGCAGCACACATATTGGAAACTGCCCGAGCCCGTCCAGCTCAAACATTTCCCTTGCCCTTCTATTAAGCTTCTTGTGCATGACAAGACACAACCCGCAACCTTGTGGTGAACAGGCCCTTTTGCATCTGCCACCCATCCATCCATCCATACATCCATGGATCCAAATTCCATCTCTCCTCCTCAGATTTCGGTTGTTGTCCGTTGACTCGAGTTCTTGCCACTTTTGCATTTGCCTGTCTTGAGAGCCGAAAGCCAAGACAAGTTCTTGTTGAGATCGTCGCCCACTATATACATAGCATTCCCTCTCCACCCACCGACCGTTTGGGACCTTATCGACTTCACTTGCCGACCGCTACTTAGTACACATATACCTGACGTATGCCTCTTCGAGTTGCCTTTGTCAACCCTTTTGGTAAATACAGCCAAATCTGGTCTTGTTCCTTTGACCACCTCGACTCTACAGCTTCTGCGCCTGAAAGCGACACAAACATTATTATTATTATTGGGCAGACTTTTACGACAATTGCTAGAGCAAAGTACTCTAGAGCTCTAGAGGGCTTCCACACCTGTCAAGGGCGCCGCGGCTATCAGGCGATCTACGCCTGACAACAGAGACATTGGTCCGATTGACTGGCACGCATTCGCTCCAAAGTCTCACCTTCGGCCCTTTGTTTGTGAAACTATATTGAGACACTACCTACTGAATTCAGCGCAGACACTTGACTTTCAAGTTCTGAAAAAGGACCGACGGAGAATAACCTGCTCTTGTGGGTGCGCGCCGACTAGCACGCTTGGAATGGGAGTGATTGGAACAATCTCACAAAAATTGCAGTAGTTTGCAATCTATTGAAAAACCCGAATCTTCCGATCAGGTGTCCTTTCAAGTGTTCCCGGCACGCCGCGGTTTACAGTCTTTGCGACTTTTGTCTTCAACATTTACACGACAAGAAATCACACGCCCGTTGTCTACCACCAGAGCTGTTGCACCTTGAAGAATAACTCGCTACATTCTTTTACTGTCCAACGACGACGACCACCGAATCCTTTGCCATCATCTCGAGAAGGAGCTTCTCCACTGCTGCGGCTCGCCGAAGCGATCTGAACAACCGAGAGCACGCAGCACCAAGTTTCACCAAGATATTGGACAGTACGACCACCACAGTGGCCTGTTTCAATCAAATTCCCCTTTGGCTTCCCCTGTTTGTGTACACTTACACGGGCCCGGGATAGAGCGCGCATTTCCCGTCATCACAACGAGACTGTTTTTGTATCAGCTACGACCCGCGTTGCTGTCGCAATCTCTATAAAAAGGCCGCAATCAGATCGCTCAGCTGCTATCCGGAGACAAAAGACCTCGAAGCGCTTTTTTTAAGGAAAAAAAGAAAAGACACGGACACGAATTTTTTTAAAAGAAACGAGAAAAACGAATTCTCCTGAAAAAGCACGGATATAGCAAAGCCAGTTTATAGCTCCCTCGATGCTATCTGTCAGCAGGCCCGTGGAGAGTGCGCCTTTCCCACCAGGCAATCGCCACGGCATCCCAAGTACACTATCCAATGAAGGGCAGCTCTCTTTGTATCCGCCAAAGAAAAGATCCGAACAGATTGTCAGAGTTGGAGGGTATTTGTCTCCGCCCATGTCTGGGTCTCCGCCATTTGAGCCGGCGCGGACTGCCCAAGATTTGAGTTCTTGTGGTAGCAGTCCTCGCTACGGGATGATGCCCTTGGATGCTTCGCAAACGAGACTGCAAATTGAACAACAGCCGGCAAGGGCTTCCAATCAACCCAGAAGCCTGCTCCCACTATCCAACACCTATCCGCAAGAGACGTCTCGTGGACCGCATATTCGTCGCTCGTCAGAGCACCGGCTTCCACCCCTACTGACTTACAACACACCCGAGCCTGTCAACAGCTTCTATGGCACGCCGGTACAGCGATATGCCTCACCTGCATCATCTATTACCCAGCACTCGGACTCGCAGCCTCGAAGCTCTGTGCCTGATTCCAGCATCAGAGCGTTATCGCCCAGATCGCAGCGCAAAACCAAAGGCCACGTCGCTTCGGCATGTGTCCCCTGCAAGAAAGCCCATCTACGCTGCGATGCGCAACGTCCTTGTGCCAGATGCGTCTCTCATGGAAAAGAAGACACGTGCGTTGATGTTCGCCACAAGAAGAGAGGCCGACCTCGCTTGAGGGACGACCGCGAGTCTCGAATGGATGCCGTCCGTTTTGCCCCTTCGCAAGATGGTGGCGCAAGGAGGACAACAAATATTCGACCTGCCTCACTGGGACACCCATCGCAGCCTTCCCTCTACGATCGCCCTAGTAGCGCTGCTCCATCGGCTTCATCAGCTTCTTCCTTTGCGCCGCCGCCGCGAATCTTCTCCGCAGATACTACTATCCATGGCGATCGACACCGTCGACTGATATGCGAAGCGCCAATTGTCTATATGAGAACGAACATGGACATTGTCAAGGCCTCTTCTTCCTTTTCCGAGGCTATTGGCGCTACCAGACTCATTGGAAGAAGACTCATGGAAATGGTTGCGCCTGAAACGTCGGAAACCATGATAGATGTTTGCAATGCTTTGAATGCTGAGCAAAAGAGAAGGGAGCCCGCATATCTGCCTCCAATTTATGACAAGGGCGATGAAGCTGTGCGCGCGCTGAGCTTTGCCCCAGAAATCGTCAATCGCATCGACTTTAAACACCATGCGTATTCCACTTTCAGAGCGCACGATGGACAGCCCCGATCATACCCTATTCGATTCGGCCTGCTCAGAGAGGGCTCTTTCTTCTTCATCGCGGCTCTGCTTAGTCTTCAGTCGCGCCCTCTCTACCACCAACCTGCCGCTACACACACACGCAACGTTGCTCACACTCTCCCACGTGCTTCACCGTCGTCGTCGTATGCTGCTCACGCAGCAATTGATTCGGATCATCGTCGATATAGTGACGGACCATCGGCCCTGCGCAGAGAAGCTGGAATGGCAAGGCAGGCGAGCCCACACGGAACCTCGCCCAGCATCGCGTATCAGTCCATTTACTCGGCTTCGCCGCACAGTTCTGAATACAGGAGACAGTCTCCTCTGCAAATACCCCGGAGCGAGGCGGGCACACCGCTGCTGAATCGCTCGAGCGAGTCGCAATACACACTGCCACCAATTCGGTCTTTGGCAGAGCGACCTCGCGATAAGTCGGCGCGAGATGGACGACAAAGGCGACTTAGCATCGGAGGGTTGATTAATAGTACGGCAAAATAGCCAAACATTAATGGTCATTAATCAGAAAATCATGCTTTGAGTAATGTATTAAATTAGTATGTACTGGCAGTAGGCAGTTGGAAAAGCGAAAAATTAGGCTAGACTCGTCACAAAAATAGAATTAAGAATTTGTATACAATGGTACACTCCGACTTGCCCTCATGAATTCTTTTGTTTTCTTCCATTACACTGATCATTCTATGGAGGTGAGAGTGTGATGCTTCGCAACTCAGTGTTGCAGCTTCTCGCGTCACG